CAGCAAAAGAGGCTGAGAAGGAAAAGGGCTGGTAAAGGAGGAGGAAAACCAGGTAGTGAGGTGTTACAGAAGTTAAGATAAGCGTTCCAAGGAGGAAGGATTGATCAACTGCATCAAATGCTGATAAATAGTCACAGGAAATGAAGACTGAGAATCAAGCTTTAGATTTGGCAACATGCAGGTCATTAGTGACCATAACAAGGTAGTTTCACTGGTGTGGTAGACATGACAACCCTACTGCAATGGATTAGGGAGACTGGAAGGTAAGGATGTGTAGCCAGAATGTAGATGCCATCTTCCACCCTAGGAGACTCACATGGAGATGCAGGTGCCCTCCTAGCTGGCTGAAGGTTGCAGTCTTCTGAACTCCTGCGGAGGTAGTGGGGATAAAGAAAAAGCAGTAGTTCTGTTCTTAAGGAGCTTACCACAATGGTGTGATGGATAGAGCCAGCCTCACTCATCTCAGATATGAAGGTCCTAGGTCAAACTCCCCTTCATACCTCTCTCTCTCACCCAGTGTTTGAAAGCCCACCATTAAAGATACAGTCCTTTGGATCACCGCTGGGATGAGTAGTAGATTAGATGTAAATGAAAATGATCCTTAGATCCTGGTTGGAGGGAAGGGACAGTTTTGGAGTACTGAGATTGGGGGTGGTGGGGAGAACCTTGGAACAGGAAGGAGAAAAATGAGATAAATACCGATTCCACAGTTGCCAAAGACTAGTCCTCACCACAGTGCCCCAGAGAAGTAGGGTATGGCAGATGGCTTCATGAGTAGAGGAACAAAGTTAACAGGCCCCATGTCTCCATTTTTCTCTGGCCAAGACTGCTGCAGCTACAGCATCTACAAGTCATATCTAGATCCTAAAAAGAGCCAAGGAGTGGCCCTGTGTCCTTCCAGAGACCTCAGGTGTTTTCACCAATGGCCATCTTGTGAGTCAGATATGTAAGATTCTGTAAATTCATATTGAAATCCAGTCATTCGTGGCCACCGTAGTCCTCCTCAGATTCCAAAAAAGGTTCCAAGAGCACCTGACACTGAGTTGAATGTGACTTGAGAAGTTGTAGGAAGTACATCCCCACCCCCGCACTCTCCTCAACACACATAAACATTTCAAAATCTCTCTCCTTCCACATTCCACTGAAATCCACAATTTGCAAACTCTCTCCTTAGGTTTCATCTTTACATTGTCCTAAGTGATCTATTAAAAATGTGAATACCCTTGGAGTGGGAGTCATCTTCAAGCACGGTTAAGCCGTATACATCTTATATATAAAGTTATTTAGCCGCTTGCCTTATTCTCTGACTTAAAAGGCACTGTGGGCCTGCAGGTAAAAAGGTATAGAGTAGCTTGGTGAGATATTTATGCACAGTTTCCTAGTCATCCAGGATTCTTAAAATGGGGGAGATAGGCTCAGAAACCTGGGAGCCAGTGGCCAAGTGCCTGCAATCCTTTTAGCAATAAAAGTAGACATAGGAGAATTTTTCACTTTCCTCCTTCTCCCTCCCCCCGCCATAGCTTCCCAAGGGCACTCCCCCAAGGAAGGAAGAGAAAAATACAAACCTAACACTTTGTACTTGTATAGCTGCTATACTTCTCCTAGTCTTTTCCCATACGTTATCTCACTTGAGCCTCAAGTCCCCCACCGCTGTGGAGACTGGGGCCCAGAGAGGTTACACATCTCACCCTGAGAAACTAAGCCCATTGGCAAAGCCAGGGCTGGACTCCAGTTCTCCTGATTTCTGGTCCTGTGCTCTCTCCAGGACACCATAGTGCGTTTACTTTAGTCGTCAGGCAAGATTGTTTGGAAAGCAGCCCAGTCTCTTTTCTCTTTGTTGATATAAATCATGTGCAGATCTTGAGTTTAAGAGCAATTGCAAATTGAAAAGGAGAACATGGTCACTACAAACAACTGAAAACCCCCATTTATATCCCTCTGGAAAAGTAAAATCAACAACACAGAATTATGTCTGTAATGGAAGAAAAGCTTCCGTTTATTTTTGTACTGTCAATGAGCACTTCCAGACGTTGGAACTCAAACCATCTCCTCGTCCCACTTTGTTGAAAGCCTCAAGTTACAAGTAAGAAAGTGTGGGTCTTCGACTTCATTATTAGGGAGCAAAGAGCTGAATCTGAATTGAAACAGGATCTGCTTACGCAGGGGGAGAAATAGACTGCTGGGTGGGTTGAAAAAAAATCACTCTATTTTACTAGAATGTTTAACATCTTTGAAATCACATTAAGGACCAGGCTAACATTTTCCAATTTGTGAAGTCAGATCACGCTCTTCAGGGATTTATTATCAAAACTGGGGGTTAGCCGAGCACCTAGTTTTTCTTTCTTTAGCTGATCACACTTTGGTCACTTCAATGCAGTTGACACCCCCACTGGCTAATAGACAGTCAAGTGTCCAGACTTCTGGGAAATTTCCTAATCTGGGACACAGTTGCAACCTTGAAAGTATTTGAAAAAAAGCAACTGGGCTGTAAAGCAAACAGCTCGTCCAAGGCCAGTTCACTTTTCTCCCAAGGAGCTTTCTGTAGCTATTGTCGCTAAATGTTCTTAATAGGTACCCTAAGTCATCGTAAAAAGGTTAAAACGTTTTTAAAAGCAGGGATATTTTTTCCACAGCTGGCACATTAATGTTTGTTATGGGCATTTTCTCAACTGTTCTCAGTTCTTTTTTTTTTTTTGGGGGGGGGGGGGGGCCAAAATGGTTTCAAAAGATGTCTATGAAAAAATGGTACAAATGTATTTACAAAGTTGCAACACCTAAAGCAGTAATTGTGCTTCAGTTATCAAACAACCTTGTGTCCCCAGCTATGCCAGATAAAATGAGCGGCAGTACTCTGTCCTATAGGGTTGCTATGAGGCAGAATTGACTTGATGGCAATAGGTTTTCGTTGGTTTTTTTTTTAATTGTCCTTGAAATACAGGGCTTGGGACTGACACCCCACATGCCCCTGGAATGTCTGTTTATCTGTGTCCTCCCTCCTCACCCTCGTCGGGCCTCCCTGCCTGGCCCGGGTGGCTCTCACAGCATCCCCTCTCTCTTCCCCTCATTATCTGGGATGCTGCCCAATCCCTGGCCTCCACCTGCAAGGAGAGGGGGCAACCTTAGTGCTGGAGCTAAGACTGAAGAGGAGCCAGTGGCACAAGGCCGTATATCTTCAAGGAGTGAATTCTGGGAACGAACGTTATTTAACTTAATAGTTCCAAAACGAATGCCTTGAATGAGGTTTGTGTATTATCTATGCATTTATATCTTTGTCCTGCTATTACTATGATATCAGCTATATTTAAGCAAATTGACTTTAATGCTAAGAGGTGCTTTTATGTGTGTTTGATGAAGCACAAATCATTCATTGTCATTTCAGCCCTAAAAGTTTCTGACAACCTTCTTGAGATAAGAAGAATAAATCAATAAATGCACACCTCTAATTTACCCATCATTGGGTACGATTGCCTAGTACAAGGATTCTTCTCTCTGGCTTCAAATTTATACTATTTGGTGGCCTTTCTTTCTTTTTTAAGAAGTCACTTTTTCCAGAGAATTACTAAGGTGACTTCTAAAAATTAGCATTGATAATAGCTGAAGCCCTGGTGGCTGAAGTGGTCAAGAGTTCCGCTGTTAACCATAAGGTTGGCAGTTCGAATCCACCAACTGCTTCTTGGAAACCTTATGGGGCAGTTCTCCCCTGTCCTATAGGGTTGCTATGAGTCGGAATAGACTTGACAGCAGTGGAAACAAAACAAAAACAAAATAGTGGTTGGTATGAGATTTTTTTTTTTAAGTGCATCCTGAAAAACTGCAAAAGGAAAGTGGGAAATCCTTATTAGCATTATGATATTTGAAAGTGCTCCAGAATTAAGGAAAAAGGAGGGAAAAGTAATAATGCTGGTATACTTTTTGAAACACTTGAAAAAATAACCCGCTTAGCCATAATAATCTTTTCTTCCCCCACAATCACAACTATTGTATTGGAACTTGATCTAAAGATATAGATATCACAACAACCTGATCCCCAAATCCAAACATCATTTCCAAAAGCAAATAGGTTTCCTTCTCTGTATGGTATTGGGTCTCAAGGCCAAGATCTTCGAGAGAAGAGTCTTAGGTTATTGTTTAATCAGCCTTTATTACCTGCCTCTGACAGTCTCCAGGGTTACAGAGCAGGGGACATCTGAGCCTCATGTCCCATCAATGAAGCCGACAGCTGGGATAACAACTGAATCAATAGAGAATAGGCATTTGGAGGTATTGGGGTGATATACCCAGTAATGGCTACCCACAGCAGAAGATGGCAGAGCTACTAAAAATCAGGCAAGTTACCTTTGGGATGACAACTGGGGAAGCAATAAAACAATACAGTTGAGGTCATAGGTCTTCTCCTCCCTGTTGAGTCCCCCTCCCCCTCAGTCCTCATTAAATCCATTCTAGGCCACAGACATATCCTAGTGTCCAGCTAGCTCCCTGCTGAAAAGGGACGGAGAGAAAAGCTATCTGAGGTGTCTTCATTTTCTTTGTTTCTGTCCCTAAGGCAACAGGAAGCTGGAGCTGCTGCTGTGGGCCTGGCAGTGGTGGCAAGCCCGTTGGCTCTGCAGATTGAGCAGTCCCTGGCAGCCCCTGGAGCAGCCGCCAGTTAGACGGCCCCGAGTTCTGATAGACTTCAGTCCTTCAGTTCAATGCCAAGTGTTGGATTCAGTTCCCAGAGGGCTGGAGCATGGTGTGTCAGGGCTGTCTGAAGACAAGAGAGCAGAGGCAGTTTAGTGCAGTTGGATGTGCGGGATGGGGATGGAGGAAGGCGGAAGAAGGGAGAAAATGGCCAGGAATGGGAAGGGTTGGGCTTCTCCTTCCGGGGCCTTCCAGGCAAGGTCTCCTGGCCTCTTATCATCGCCTGGGCCTCAGGTGAGGCGAACCCTGGAAGGGGAGGAAAGAAAGGGCAGCAGCCGCGCCCATCGTGAGAAGGTCATGAGCTATCAGCTGGGGCTGAGGCTCTAGACCCCCTCGGTGTCCTGAGTGAGGGCGGGCAGCCCCCCGACGGCGAGCTGGCGGTAGCCCTCGGCCGGGGAGCCGGCTGCAGTCTCGGCGGCGGCGTCGGCGGCCGAGGCGCCTCCCGGGGCCCACTCGTGTTCGGAGCAGGCCCGGGCCGGCTCGTCCTTGGCCTCGACGAGCTTGCGGGAGCGGGTGTAGGCCAGGATGAGGCCTCCGGCCAGGCAGGCGTAAAAGATCATGATGAGCAGGATGTAGAGATAGGCGTCGTCGCCCTTGGCGCTGGTCACCTCGCGGCCCACGAAGGGGTCAGGCACGACCCCCATGCCCATGCTCGGGCCCGCGCCCAGGCCGCTGGCGTTGCCCCTGTGGTGCAGCTCGAGTAGCAAGCGGCTCAGGAGGGTGCGCAGCCGCTGGCTCTCGCTGCAGTTCATGGCTGTCGGGGAGTGACACGGTGGCTCCAGGGCGCTGCTGACCTTTCCCCCTGGGTGAGGGAAGCGAGCGAACGAGCGAGTGAGCGAGAGGGGAGCCGGGTGCGGGGCGCGGCGACGGCGGCGGCACCCAGCTCTCGGGCGGGCAGCGCAGTGGCTGGGGGCGCCGGCCTCCCGGGCCTCCTTATCCCCTCACCCCCGCCCCTCCTCCCCTTCCCCACCACGCCCCCTCCGGCCCGCGTCCGCCTCTTCCCAGGCTCTGGCGGTCTCGCCGCTCCGGGGAAAGGGGACAGCTGGTAGGGGGGAGGAAAAGGGGGACAAGGGAGGGGGCGAGCCCAGGGGAGGGGCGGAGGGGGCGGGGGCTCGGAATGCTCAAGGGCCTCAGGCAGCAGAGGCTGGCAGGGCAGCTTGATGGGGCCTAGCTTGGACCCTGGGCTGCGGAAGAGAATTCCTTCCAAGTTCTGGCCACTTGCCCTGCAGGCCCCGCTTTGGCCCAGATACAGCATCTGGTCCCCCAAGGCAGGCCCTGCCCAAGGGCGCTCAAGCGAGACCGGCTAAGCCTTTCCTCAGCTTTCCCGTGACATGACAGACAAGACCCCTTGTCCACATGTTATGGTAGTTACTCCCATAGACAAAGACTTCGGCCTGTCTTTCTAGCTCTCATTCCTTCCCCTGGCTCAAGAAAAGCACCTTATTCAAAAGAAGCTCAGGCCAAGTTTGGTGGCTGAATGACTGGGCGCTTGCTAGAAGACCACGGCACAAGTCTTCCAAAAAGTTTTCTGATAATAAACCAGCCTTCTTGGAAGTACTCTAAGATGCTCTGATCTCCTATCACACTTTTGGAGAGGCCCGTGCATCTTAGTATGTGAGTGTGAGAGCATCTTAGCATGATGTGGCCCTGTTTTCCTTCTTAAACCGTCTTCCCAGAAGTGAAGCCAAGTTCTACCATTAAGAGGATCAGGGACATTAAAAAGGCCCTTTGACTACACTCTCTTGATGTCTCAAGGTCTGAAAAATGCCAGTTCTAGAGAATGTGCTCACCCCTCCCCCAACCCACCCCTGGTTAGGTGGGCACATAGCTATGTGCCTCTCCAGGGCTTGGTAACAGGTCTAGGCCCTGATGGCTTATGGGCAGCCACTTGTTCTCACTAGGATATCTTCTTTCAGGGAAGAACAAGGCAGTGTAACACAAAGATCAGTCCAGTGTAAGATAAACTGGAAACAGACTGGGCTTTATAAAGGAAAAGGGCTCAAAGTGTTGATTTGTAGATAGTGAGGTAGAAAAAAATGTGGTCATGTTTGGTTGTATATAGTTGCCAAATGAGAATAGAAACAGAAAAATATATGCACTTACGCACACCTTGAAAATAAAGCTGCCTGTTCTAGAACATTCAGTCAAGGGGCCATTCAATCTGCAGGTGCCATGGGTATAAAGGGATGGTTTCCTGGTACTTTGGCCCCAGCCACATTCCAGCCTACCATCCACTCAGGGGATGCAGCCATCTGTGTGTTTGGGGATGAGATTGGTATCTAACTATATCCAGTGTCTCAAACAGAACCTTGCTCAACAGACTTTACACACGCCTCAGAGACATTCCACGTGACCTGACTACTGAGTCTCTCCTAATCACCTTTCCTCAATGTGCTCACTTCAGAGGGCCTCAGATAAGAATTGTTAAAGTGACTTGGCATGATGAATGCCAGAGGATACTGCTAGGGAATTTTCAAAGCAGTACCAACCTAGGGACATGACCGTTGAGCTAAAAGAGTCCTCTTATCAATGCTTAAATTTTCCCAGAAATCCCTAGTTTTTTTGGGGGGAAGGTAGAGGAAGAAGCCCCTTCACTATAACATAAAAATAATCATTTAAACTTGTACTTTCCAACAGCCTTATGATTATGATTTTTCTCGTTTTCAGAAGAAGAAACTGAGGTTCAGAGTGGTTAAGTAGCAGGACTAAAATTATAAAGTTTGACTTTATTCTTCTCAGTCCTAATATATTACTCTAGTCACATGAGTGATATCCATGAGCTGCCTCCGTTTTTTCACCTCTCCTACCCCTGGAACCTTCTAGAGTCCAAAGCTTTCTGCCAAAATCTCTCTCTGTAAGTTTACCAGTGACCTCCTGGCCAAATTCAAGGGTCTCTGCTCAGTTTGCATCTTTGACCTCGGGGATGAATTTGATACCATCAACCACCCACCCCTTCCTGTAACTGTCATACCCTTGGCTCTCATGGCATTGTATTCTCAAGATTCTCTTCTTATCTCTCTGACCCATCATTCTGTCTCTTTTGCTGGCTCCTCTTCTTCCTTTCTTCTGTTAACTTGGAATTCCTGAAGACTCAATCCTCAGCTATTCTCTTTTAACACTCAATTCCTTGGAAAGTGTCTCTTTATGTGGTTGCAACTACCACCTTGGCATATAAATAGCCAAACTTGAATTTCCACCTCTGATTCTTTCTTGGTAGCATCGCTTGTATCGACTCATTCCTTTCAATCTGGTTTTATTGCCACAAGCCTAATCCAAGCTCTCATTACCCCAGATCAAATAAGCAAACTGAGTCTTCTGGCAGCTCTCCCTGCCAACAACCCAATCCACTATGCTATGGCTAGAATAATTCTCCTTCAGTACCACTTCTGTCAATTCACCCTTTGTGTTCAGAAACCCAGAGGTGCTGCCCATTACTTCTTTAATGGAATTCAAACTTCTTTCATGGACCTTAAGTCCTCTCCACTAACAGACACTATCTCATCTTTGCACTTGATAATTAGCATATTGCTACAGTTCCTCTCCAATATTCTGTGCCTTTTGCATTCCTCAAAGCTCACTGATTCGAGGAAGCCTTACTTGATACTCTTTTTTTATTTTTTAATTGTTGTAGTTTAAATGAAGTTTACATTTCAAGTTAGCCTCCCATACAAAAATCTATACATACATTGTTATGTGACCCTAATTGCTCTCCCCACACTGTGACAGCACACTCCCCCCTTGCACCCCCGACTCCCCTTGTCCATTTAACCAGCTCCCAACCCTCTCTGCCTTCCCATCTCACCTCCGGAAAGAAGCTGCCCGTTTAGTCTCTGGTATCTACTTGACCTAAGACGCACACTCCTCACGAGTATCACTTTATGTCTCACAGTCCAGTCCAATCCCTGTCTGAAGAGTTGGCCTCAGAAATTGTTTTAGTTCTGGGCTGATAGAGAATCCAGGGGCCATGTTTTCCAGGGATCCTCCAGTCTCAGTCAGACCATTAAGTCTGGTCTTCTTACTAGAATTTGAGTTCTGCACCCATCTTTCTGCTGCTCCATCTGGGACTCTCTGTTGTGTTCCCTGTCAGGGCAGTCATTGGTGGTAGCCAGGCACAATCTAGTTCTTCTGGTCTCAGGCTGATGAAGTCTCTGGTTTATGTGGCCCTTTCTGCCTCTTGGGCTACTACTTTCCTTGTGTCTTTGATGTTCTTCATTCTCCTTTATTCCAGGTGGGTGGGACAAATTGATGCATCTTAGATGGCCACTCGCAAGCTGTTAAGACCTCAGATGCCACTCACCAAAGTAGGATGCAGAACATTTTCTTAAGAAGCTTTGTTATGCCAGTTGACCTAGAAGTCCCCTGAAAGCATGGTCCCCAACCCCTAGCCCTGCTACTCTGTCCCTCAAAGTGTTTGATTGTGTTCAGGAAACTTCTTAGCTTTGGTTTAGTCCAGTTGTGCTCACGTCCCTTGTAGTGTGTGCTGTCCTTCCCTTCACCTAAGATAATTCTTATCTCCTATCTAGTCAGTAAATAACCCTCCCCTCCCTCCCAACCCTTGTAACCATCAAAGAATGTTTTCTTCTGTGTTTAAACCTTTTCTTGAGCTCTTATAATAGTGGTCTTATACAATATTTGTCCTTCTGTGACTGACTAAATTCACTCAGCATAATGACCTCCAGCTTCCTCCATGTTATGTTTCACGGCTTCATCATTGTTCTTTATCGTTGCGTAGTATTCCATTGGGTGAACATACCATAATTTGTTTATCCATTCGTCCACTGATGGGCACCAAGGTTGTTTCCATCTTTTTGCTATTGTGAACAGTGCTGCGATGAACATGGGTGTGCATATATCTATTCGTATGACAGCTCTTATTTCTCTAGGATATATTCCAAGGAGCGGGATAGCTGGATCGTTTGGTACTTCTACTTCTAGCTTTTTAGGGAAGCACCAAATCGATTTCCAAAGTGGTTGTACCATTTTACATTCCCACCAACAGTGTATAAGTGTTCCAGTCTCTCCACAACCTCTCCAACATTTATTATTTTGTGTTTTTTGGATTAATGCTAGTCTTGTTGGGGTGAGATGATATCTCATTGTAGTTTCGATCTGCATTTCTCTCATGGCTAATGATCGTGAGCATTTCTTCATGTGTCTGTTAGCCGCCTGATCTTCTTGGGTGAAGTGCCTGTTCATACCCTTTGCCCATTTTTTAATTGGGTTATTTGTCTTTTTGTTGTTGAGGTTTTGCAGTATCTTGTAGATTTTAGAGATTGGATACTGACAAAATTTGTCGTAGCCAAAAATTTTTTCCCAGTCTGTAGGTTGTCTTTTCACTCCTTTGGTGAAGTCTTTTGATGAGCCCAAGTGTTTCATTTTTAGGAGCTCCCAGTTATCTAGTGACTCTTCTGGTGCTTGTGCACTGTTACTTATGGTTCGTACTGTGTTTATGTCATGTATTAGGACTGCTAGCATTGTCCCTATTTTTTCTTCCATGATCTTTATCGTTTTCAATTTTACATTTAAGTCTTTGATCCATTTTGAGTTAGTTTTTGTACATGGTGTGAGGTATGGGTCTTGTTTCAGTTTTTTTGCAGATGGATATCCAGTTATGCCAGCACCATTTGTTAAAGAGACTGTCTTTTCCCCAATTAACGGACTTTGGGCCTTTGTCAAATATCAGCTGCTCATAGGTGGGCGAATTTATGTCTGGATTCTCAATTCTGTTCCACTGGTCTATGTATCTCTTGTTGTACCACAACCAGGCTGTTTCGACTACCGTGGCAGTATGATAGGTTTTAAAATCAGGTAGTGTGAGGCCTCCCACTTGGTTCTTCTTCTTGAGTAATGCTTTACTTATTCGGGGCCTCTTCTCTTTCCATGTGAAATTGGTGATTT